AATAAATTACTAGCTACTTTATGTAAAAAAGCTTCACAATACTAAAAGTTACAAAAGTTTCATTCTTATTTTCAATAAACAGTTTTTACTTGAATACATTTGTTCTRTATATAATATATACTATAATCCATAATCCTGGCCTAATATATGATATATTTAGTTTCTATTCAGATAAATTATATTAAATACATTTAGTTTTGATCATATTTGGAAAATATTTTATTTTTAAAATGAATCTTGACTATTTCTAGAATTATATTCAAATTATTCTTTTCAGATACATCAAACATAAATCAAAATCAGAACACGTGGATAATTTAGAATTTAATGATGGCCATAAATAATATTATAATTGATTAAAATTATTCCAAAAAACACATTCCAATAAGAACTTTTATGTAGAAAATATGAATATTAAAATAAATCTATCAATCATAAAAATTATAATATAAAAGGAATAAACTGAGTACACGCATACATTATATGGGTATTAATAATGTTTTGCTTACTTTGACAGAAAAATATGAAAAATATAATATTTAGTAATATACATTTGGATGAATAATTATGAATATTTTTTGCACTACAAGTTTGAAATACTCGAACATTTGAACTTTTAAAATACACACTATTAAAAACAAATAATTCTAGGCAATGCGTTTAGATAAAGTTATTAAATATTTAATATTTTTAATATCATTTAAATTTTTTTCTTTATCTTGTAACGAGATACCTATCACTCTCTCTTTAACCACTTATCGCCATACACTCATGCGGAGTGTATCACATGTACGACACTGTCCACTCACCGCCCGACAAATACCGTCAACAGATCGCGTTATTCAGAAACAAGTACATCAATAACACTGTGGCCGAGTATAATCAACACCAGTCAAAGGATTAAATGATAATAATCATTAATAAAACTCGTCCATTAACATAGTAATACTATGTTAATCGCCAACGCGTGTGAGAAAAATAACTTTTGAAGCTTGAAACCTACCAAAATGTGTAATCGATTTGTATTAGTCTACACCACCCGTAATACGCCGCAAGTTGGTAAATACAACCAACCGATCGACCATAAGGCATCTACCGTCCGATTACTGAGCTCAAACACTAAATCGTACGAGTTTATCCCTATACAGGTATATTTAACCTCATATATGCAACCGTCGAACAAGTAATTACAGCCAGTACTCGGATTTCCAGTGCCGACTTGTGCATCGCCGTCGCCGCCTGATTGTTCACTGCCACCGTTGGCGACCGACATCTACCAGCACCGTCGATACCATAGACCTATAAACTAATGGACTGCGCTTAGACAGAGAAACGTGGCGTCGATATAGTATGAGAGAGAAGAGAGACTGTAGGGGAAGTACAGTGTGACCATTATTTGAAAAAAAACTATTGTGCCAGATTCTAATTTTTTTAAATATTAAAAAAATGTTGTTGTTTAAACAAATCCCCAACAAATCAGGTTTTGTAGTAAAACAATTTAAAAAAACTATTACTTGTCATATTTGTTGTGATGCTCTTATAGATCAGACAAAAAAACGTGCACTTATTGACATAAAAAATAGAGGAGGACTAATAAAACCAYCAACTGACGTCATAACACTTTGTAAGGCAAGTGAACAAGTATTTATTTCCAGAATTAACGAAGTTTCTAAACATTTGGGAAATCCAATAGATTTTTTAATAATAAAAACCATGTCTCAAATTAACATAAAAAATATATTTCCTTCTTTAAATAGTCACATTTTATCATAATCGCCACTTAACAATCATTTATTACAAATTATTTAATTTATCATTAAAAAATACATGAAAATTAGATTACACTTTTATAATAATCAGTTATGTCAACCAAAAAAGAGAGTAAGATCCAAATTAACAAAAATAATTTTGTTTCAACATCAATAAAGAATTAATTACCTCAATGTATTTGTTGTTTTCATTTAAAAATATGTACCTATAAAAATCTTATTTTGAAATATATAAAATATTTATATTATATTATAGAGTAAAGAATATTGACTATTCAATAATACCTGGCTTCTAGGTGAGTACTAATATGCACTTGAAATTGAAACAATATAACTATTTAAGTCAACTTAAAATAGTTAAATAAAGCAGAAAGTAGAAAACTAAAATGTGGAAACAAAGCTATGGGTTTTTTTTAAATTTTATATTGTGGTGATAACTAAATATTTTCATGGAATAAATAACTTTAATGACTAACTCTCCTCCATGATTCCCCCAAGATAGCTCTCTCTCACTCACTCTATATCCACATCTTGTAGGCCGGGTGGTGAGGAACACGCAGTCCATTAGTTGATAGGTCTATGGTCGATACCGTTGCCGAGTGCCGCCGCCGCCGTCTGCTAGTGTCACCACCGCTAACAACGATCCACATTGCTGCTGCCATCAACCAGTATGCCAAATAATCACCAATCACTGTCGTCGTGAGTCACTTGTTTTTTCGATCACAATTTCCCGCAGTGTGCTAGGAATATTACCCGTGGATATTAACGCCAACACACTCGAGAAATACATCGCAATTTTACTGTCCCTGTCATTGACTATAATATAGCGTGCTAGGAATATCACACGTGGATATTAACACCAACACGCTACGTGGTTACACGGGACATTAAATACATACTATTATATGTTCATTTGTATTGTTCAATTGTCACGGACGAGGAACACCGTCAACATTAACATCATAAAATACATGTTAATTTTTAACTATAGATCGAAGATCATGATAATTATACGTTTAAAAGAATATATTGTTAACTTATTTAAATAACGATATTATACAAAATATATCAAATGGTTTTATAACTAAAAAGTAAACAGCGTTATAAATTCAATTACAATCTTGGATTCAAATATTCAATATTTAWACCAAAAGGTACTTGTTAAAAAAAAAATCCGAAATAAAAAACAAATATACATAATACGTTCCCATTTATTTGGTCTTTATAAACATTAGATAGTAAAAATGGCTATAAAAACTGTATTCGTAAAACTACATTTGTAACTTTTAATATATCTAATATATAAAAAAAAGCGGGTAAGTCATGGATGTCACTCTGCTGTACAGTAGGTTACAAGTGGGTTGCTGTAATGGATAGAATTGAATTTGAATCCAATGATATTATACCATTGTATACGAAAAACAATTCTGAGCGGAAACGGTTTATCTGTCTAGGATATATTATAAATTATTAAACATTTTCAAATATTAGATTTAAAAAGGATTGCGTGGATCTCAATCACAAGAGGCACTAGCTGAACAATGTTTGTTTGTGGCTTAGATTTTTGCATACCGTTATTTTCACACGAACAATTTATTGTAMGTGGCATGTACTCGTGCAGTGGATAAACCATCCAGTTTGTTTGTGTTGGCTAAAGATGGACATATAATGAGTTGAAATTTGAAAATTATTAGTTAAGATATAAAAATTTAATAAATTCAAAAGAATGAATATTTGATGTTTTGTTATTGTTCCCAGACAAGTGATCCATTCCTCTCAGTCATATACCAGTAAAACACACAATTATAATAATTTAGTTATTTTTTGTTTGACCACCAATATATTCATTAGAAATAATTAATATGGCAAAACAACGTTTGTCAGGTCAGGTAGTATATGTATATATTTCTGGTACAGATACATATTAGACCTATGGACAGAAGATAGGCTAAGTTAAAAATGTGTAGGCACATCCCCTGTAAGTTTTTACATTTTTGTTTATATATGGCTGCTATTATAGTGATGGCTATATTATTTTGTATCATTGTTATTTATTATAATATAACATATATCCCTGAATATACTCGTATGTTATTTATTCTTAACTTTGCACTTTATAGCCCGACAAGAATCCTACCTCTTATGTGTTTTTTTGTATTTTTATTAAAATAACGCCATTTCTAAGTAGTTTTGCGTCCCCCCCCCCAAAAAAAAAAATTGATTGGTAGTTGTACGCCTCAAGTATGAAAGAAAATGTCAACACGAGCTTTAGAGACATTCCAGCAAATATATGCAAGATTGGAAATCATCAGAGAAGGTCACGCTCGAGCGCGTTCATCTGAAACAACTAATCAACCAATATGTAAGATCGGAAATTACCAGAAAAGGTTACGCTCATACAGGAATTTAACACACAGTTAGAGATATATAAGAGGTGCGATTTTTGACGGGCTAAGAATTGCACGGATTCAGAAAGTGGGTTAAAAATATAAAACCACCAATTTTCTCAAGTTGATTCAAAGTATTAGATACTGCGCAATCTGTCAATATTTAAAACTTTCTGTGTTTTAATATAAACAATAGATATGTTAATCATAGGTAAATTAAGCTTATACATTTTTTGAATTTTAATTAAGTAAGCATTTAATTTTTTTTTAGCTTTAAATTATTGGTAATCGAGAGATTTTTATTCAATTGAAAATTTTATTGTATAAAATAATTGTGTCGACTACGCACTAATCTTTAACTGATATATTTTAATGTAAAAAAAAAAAATGCCAATATTATGATGATAAAACTTAACTAAATCAGCAAATTTGTTTTAATCATATCAGAAAAAAACTTTTTGTAAACAATTTCATGACAAATATCTCAAATGAATTGATTAATCATCCAATTTTTAAAATGGCTGGGATAATAATTTTTAAATTATGTACCATATAACCATATTAAATTATTCATAAGTAAATTTAAATATTTTAGCATTTTAATAATTTCAATATACCTACCTAATATTGTTAGGAAATTAAAATCGAATCGAACCGAATCAAAATTTGTTTTCATGCCTAACTAGTTAAATAAATAAAATTTTTAATCAATGTATGAGATCAGATGACATTTTTGAACCATTTTTTCTAACTTAATATAACTAAAATATAACATCGTAAAACTATTACAATACATTACTCTTTTTGCTCAACTTTAATGAACCGAGATTAAATGTAGATATAGCTAATAATCAGCGTCACTAACAGATGATGTACTGCTCGTCATATCACCTTCATCTGGGAAGGAATTGTCTTTCTGCAAGTCATCTTCTCTGGCATTTATTAAATCTTCATAATTGTTTTTTAAGTTGGTCACCGATTGATGCTTCCTTCTTGATTTCATTCCATAAATATTGGACACTGAAAAAGGATTTTCAGCCTCATCGGGTTCAATCTGCCGCATAATGTTTTCATCGAATTCGTCCAATAAATCTTTTTCCTAAAGTAAATATTATGTTGACTATAATATAAAAAATACTTAACAGCTTATTTAAAATAGTATGACCTTCATCAGTTCAGTAATCCCAGAATACAAATCTCTTGATTTACCGCATGAGTTGAATGATTCCGTTTTATCGTTTACCAACATGTTTGGTTTATTAATCACATCCTCATGTACCTGAATAATCAGATTCTTTTGGAGGTCTTTGGTGTGATCACTGATTTCGGACTCGCCGTGAACTAGTTCAGGTCTTGCTGTCTTCCTGGGAATTTTCGGGGAAGCCACTCGATCAACGACAGAGCCAACGACGTCAACTAATAATGAGTTCTTAGACATTACCGTTGACCTATTTAGGCGCATCATAAAGTTCAAATATAATACGATTATAAAATAAATATCAGTTTTTAAAATTATCTGACCTGGATTTTGGTGCAATACTTTGGCTTAGACCATTGTAGCTCCGTCTTCCACCATAACTTTGGTATTTAAGCTTTTCAATTGTCGATAATAGTTGATCATTCGTTTCCTTTAAATGGTTTAGTTCTAATTGCAGAACCTTATTTTTGTTCATCTCTACGTTCATTTGGTTTTTGTGATTTTTATTTAGAGCTTCAATTTGTTTTTTTAAGTTCTAGGATGACATTTAAAAAAAACAAAACTAATACTGAAATACTTACGATTTGTATTATAATTAAAGGTTTATGTACCTGCATTTTTGTCTCCTGCTGTTTAATAATGTTTTCAGCTTCTTCGAGCTGATTGGACAATTTTTCTCTCTTACCAAGCTGCTTGTTCTTGTCTAAGTCCAACAAGTGTTTGTTTTGTTTTTGAACATCCAACAACTTAGTACTAATCAATTGATTTCTGTTATCCAAATGTCTGTATGAGTTTTTCATGTATTTTATACGAGCCTGAAGTGAGCGAATGTCCTCTCTATACGACATCATCACCTGGGGTAGTTTAGCATGCTGACCCTCGTATTTAGATAGTGCGACCCCTTGACGTTTCTCCATCATTTTCAAAATTCGATTTTGTCTCATTAAACTCTATACCAAAATTTCAATTTATTTATAGAGATTTTATTTACAAGGCATTAATGAATCTCTTGGACTTACTTTTACTTGTTCTTGAGTATTAGTCAATTCATTCTGTAATTCTTTTAAGCGTAACATTTTTTAACTGTTTTTCATATACAACTGTAATGGAATTACTAAAACGAAATTACTACGACTGAACAAACAATTGTAGTATACAACCATACTGGTCGTATTTATTATATTATTGGTTACGTTGCTATGGATGGATAAAATCAATGAAAACTGTTTTTCTAGACCATTTTTGTATACATGAACAAAGTAAAACAATGATTTATAATATAATTTAAGGTTCTACGTTTATATGATTCGTAATAATTGAATCATTTAATTTATCTAATAGTTTGGTCCATTTAATTGTATAAAATCAGGCATATAGTGGAGATTTTAGTTTAATAAACTGACATGTCAGGTGATTATTACAATCATAATATAATATATATTAATAAAATACATTTATCTAATATTATGATTGATGTCATTAATATTTATTCACATATTTTTTTTTTCAAATCACTGACTTGTATTAAAATGTCAAACTCAGCGAATTTGTTGAGTTTAATAAAACAAAGGAACTTTTATTACGGGTGAATATAATATTATTCTTTGCACTAGCCGGTTGCCGGATTTCAATCATAAAGCAAATATGTACAAACAACTGTCAAATAGACATTTTAAAATCAATTTATTATATGAAATAACCTACCTTAAATATAAATTAATTTAATCATAAATATTTTTATATAATTTATAAATTCATTTAATTGTTTAACTCGTACTCCACTACTCATCAATATCACCTTCAAAAACAGAGTTAACTACTCAGATAATAGTGTAGATATTGTATTACTATTTCAGATACATAAAATCTGTGTGTAAATTGATAAAATTCTATATCGTATTCAATTACGTTACAATAGGATTGTCCTTTATTTCATCGTTGTGTCCTGTTGTCCTGACAAACTTCATTCAGGACGCTTTTTTTCCTGCTTTTTTGATCAAACAAAATTAATGAATTTGAAAACGAAAATTACGAAAGTAATGAATAATTATTATAATTGTAATCTTGTGATTGTTTGAATTTATCAGTATGGGGTATGCCTACGAGTTATAGGAGCTTATCGGAGTTATCAGATTGACCGTTATCGGACTATATGGTTTCGATTCTATCTATTTATATCACTGAAAATACGTTTTGTGAATACGGTTATCGTTATTATAGCGAATAGCTATTGCTATTAGTTTGGTACCTACAATCGTTGAGTGTTGTCGACTTGTTGATAATCGTAATATATATATATATATATTAAGTATTAATAAAAAAAATTTAAATTATTATTAATTTTGTCCTGTATTTTTTTTTTTTTTAACTATGGTCGCGCTACGTTACAATAATGCAGGTCACATGTTTCCTTCTTTCTAATAATCTGTAAAATATAACTTACTGACCACTTTATTTACATCAGTCCGATAACACGGTTCGTTAGACCAGTTCGGGTAACAAACCAAGCTTTTCTTAACTGGCTTAACTACACAGGATTCGGTAGAAATATGTTATAAATGTAAATAATGTAACATTTTTGTTTCGGGAGAATGAAGAAGATGTGTTGGAACACAAATGTACTCTTTAATTAAATCTATTTAACCAAAAATATCCATAAAATATTTTTTTTTAAATCGTTTATTATGTAGTATAAAATATTGTCATAGTAAAATTAATTATAAAACACAGAGTAATCGAATATATCAATATATCAGATGTATGACGTGAAATGATTCAATATACATATATACTTACGAATTAGCTATGTATATATATATACAGTATACACCCCACACAACACATGGAACACATAAATAATACCAACGACTCTTCATACTCACTAAGTTCGATAGGACGCTCTATATAATGACACAAATTCTCAACTAGTGATGTTCACATTTCACTGAAAATATAAAATCGTAAACACATCGTGATTCGTGACATCTAAAAGTTACGTTTAACCGATACCTATAAACCAAAAGGAATCAATTACACAAACATTATTCTGCGTAAGGAAAAGACAAAATCAAAATGAATCCAGCTCTCAGTAAAAGTCTCAAGACATATCGTCCACAGTATGTACTTTGACAATATTTCCCTCGTTATAACGAATCCATTCACACTAATAATTGTCATTTACATGTATATTGATTTATTCAAGCATCCTATATGTACGTACAATACATTTTCCTGCATTATTAACTGAATTAATACGTTAGTTATTTATTTCTACGTATCTACTTAAATTTTATCCACATATCTCCTTATTTACTTAATCATATACCATATAGAATGTATAGTTAATTGATTATTATAGAAAGATAGTATATAGTCATAGTATTATTATATTAAGTATTATATTGTTATAGTATGATTTAAGCCTTTATAAATAATATGTTATTAATTAACAAAATGAAAAAATAACTATAAGAATAATAGTTATCGTACATGTAATTATCCAAAAAATAAAAAGATAAAAATATAGCCGAATCATATAACTTCAATCACTCATATTATACAAATTTATTGGCATAATCTAAACTTTTCGTTATATACTACGAAAACATCTTATGAGAAAGATTCACCTACTGATAAATGTTTAAAATATACTATGCAAAAGACGACCCACCTATATGCCAAGTATGTGGCACCTCACTGTCCATCAAACACATATTCGAAGAATGTAGAAAATACCAAAAAACCAGAGAAGAATTAAACATAAGCCACGACATTGGAAAAAGTCTTGGTCMAAATCCTGAAAACAAAACAAAAACAATAAATTTCTTCAAACAATCACAAATATTAAAGTTATTATAAGTTAACAACAACAATTTTGACATGTACATAATTATAAGACACAAAATGTCTAAAAATTTACATATTTATTTTGTATATTAAAATTAACAATTTTTTTTTCTCTTTCTTTCTAATTATATAAATTAATCCAACGTTAATGGCCCATAGTTGTCGAAGCGAAAATTCTTTGTAAATTTCAAGACCAATAAAAAAAAAATATACGATGTTAAAATTAAAATTTATGACGAGATACATTTAATACTTGCTGAAAAATAGTTTGGTTTGCTTATCCACTTGATATTTCTCTTATATATATTTATATATTAACAAAATAATTGTCCTTAACTTGAGTTATTAATACGAAATGAAGTAAAGTTATTGAAGGAAACGTGTTATTTGAAAATAATTTTCGTTAAAATTTTGTAACAAACTACATACATATACTGCATAGATAGTACATTTTGTAACACCATAATATTTTTATCAAAATATTATGAAACAATCTAGAACTCTTGGCAATAATAAAATACCTCTTTAAAATATATATACTATTTAATATAATTTATTCAATTTAAGAATTTCATACATGATATTTATAATACGTTTCAGTTCCCAAACATGTATATATGTTTATAACCAAATTATTTTAAATTTATGTAATTATCTCTACCAATTTTAATACGTAGTAGTTACATTTAATCTAAAATTAAACCAAAACCTATAATCCTAAAAAAATGCACATAAATATTTAAAAATAAATTGGTTTATAAATCTCACGTGACTTCGAAATATTTCTAACAAAATTACAAAATCTACATAACATATAATATACATAAATATATATATATATAAAAAAACCATTGATATTCAAAAGACGAAATAAACTTTAAATAATAAACTCAAAAATAAATTGTTCCCATTTCATCATTGCGGAAAGCAATTTTCTACAAAATATTAAATCGACAATATAAGAAAAAAGCTTTTTATATTGATATCTATCTTAAGTAATTCTCTAAAAAAGTTTAAAAAACTATTTAACTAAACTGCTAAGCACAAATGAACACGTACATGAGAAATAAACAGTTTTCATGTGATGTCTGATTAAATCATTTTCTAGAAATGGCATTTGACAAAACATAAAAATATTCAACTTTTTCAATATATTACGACTAATATCATAAGATTTACAAAATATTGAATTTCATTATGTATGTTGTATATTTGACATAATCTAAATACAGTTGAGTAGCGATAACTCGAAGTTGAAGGGGAATAAAAATTCTTTTCAAGATACGTATTATTTGATATACCTAATACAAATTTATCGAAATTAAGTTTTTTGGGAACAAAACGAAAATTTGTACCGTAAAATTTCTTGATATATCAATTTTCAAATTATTGTGGCTATACTGTATAAAATACCTTTAAAATTATAAAATGTATTATATTTTTTAACCATAATTATAATACTAAACCTCCAAACTCATTTAAAATATATATAATATTTACTTGAAACTTAATGAGTCATGGGTACAAAGTTTTATATTACTTATTTACAAGCATATTTTTGTAATTTTTTGGTATAATTTAACAGACCTTTTATAAATAATTTGATTAAATAAATACAAATTATTTTTAATTTATTATAAT